CCAGTAGGAGAATAACAGAAAGCTAAATGGTGGCCTCCAAACTATTAGATGAGAATGACTCAGGGATCTATTCAGGCCAGATGAAGAGCAGACCAACTCAGGGAAGAAATTTCTCCAGGGGCTGTTGTAGAACACTTAGGGTACGTCTAGACTACAGGGTTTTGTCGACAGAAGTTTTGTCGACAGATACTGTCGACAAAACTTCTGTTGACATAGAGCATCTAGACTACATTCAGTTCTGTCGACAAAGCAAGCTGCTTTGTTGACAAAACCCTGTAGTCTAGACACAATCCTACATGCAATAACACCTTCTGTCGACAGAACACTGTCGATAAAAGGCATTATGCCTTGTAAAATGAGGTTTACCAGCGTCGACAAAACTGCTGAGTTCTGTCGACGTTATGTTGACAGAACTCAGCGGTAGTGTAGGCGCAGGTATAGTTTTGTCGACAAAAGTCCACTTTTGTCGACAAAAATCTGTAGTCTAGACATACCCTTTGTATCATCACACCTAACTTCTAGGCTCCCAGAAAATCCCTAGGCATCATAGACCTTTTGTGAATCTAACTCTCAGAAGCCAAGTCCATGTTACTATGAAAAAATGCACACACAGGTCTCAAAGCTTGCAAGTCTGACCTACATGCAGTAAAGCTTTGGCTCTTCTGTCATGTAGGTTTCAAAATTTACATTCCAGATGAGAGCACTTGTGACAGCCTTGTTATAAAAAGTGATGTGCCACATTCCAATCCACAAATGGGTAGATTAATTGTAGTAAGTGCTTAATTAACTGACTCACATGGCAATGTATTATGTGTGCATGAATAGCACCATATCATTCATTGTGAATATGGCAATGGATATTTTGACAATTTTTGTAAAAATTATTGTTTCCTGGTTGGAGGTGGGGCTTTTTAGAGCTCCAAAATAAAATAGTATAGAAAATGTAAAAATATATGTATATAAAATACTTTAAAAATGACCAAACCTGGGAGCTGCAGCTACTTTAGAAATCAGGGTGTTTCTTTTCATTCCTAAATATGGCTTTAGGAGACTAACCCTAGGCCTCTATTTCTGAGGACCAAGGCCCATCTCTCTAGATATAGGACATAGATGAAAAATAATGGATAACAATCTCTGCTTCCTAGAGCTTCCTCCCAGCACAGCAGGGGACCATCAGAGAACCAGTGATGGCTGGTTGATTCTCAGGGTAGATCTATGCTGTCTGGAAATCTGATCATTGAAGCCCTGCGCAGATACAAAATTTGCATCTGCATTTGTATCTGCAAAAAAAGAACTGTGGATATCTGCACTGACATCTGTGAATGCAGATACCTGTAAATATAAAGCAGATATCCACAGATTTGTAGAATTCTACTAAATCATAAAGCAGAGCAGTCAAGGGGCTGTTCATTTAAAATAATAAGCTGGGGTTCCTATGGGACTGACTGACAGCTAAGTTTAGTCAGAGTGCAGTGTACTCAGGCCACATGGCAAGTTCATTCATGCTGAAGCTGAGCATAGGGAGAAGTGGTGCAGAATCTGCTCAAGATGACAATTCACCTATCCCAGGAGAACTCTCTACTGATCATATCCAGCTGTTTTCTGGCCCTTCTGTGGTGTGAAGAGGGCAAAACACAAATGAGAATCTGACCCTATATGCAACTGCATAGTACAAGTTTGCTTCCATTAAGTTATGAAAGAACAGACACCTGAATAAGCAAATTAAAGATACTGGAACAAACAGGTTAATCATCCTGTGTGTAGCTACCCATTCATTTGTGAACTTTTAACTATTCATCTTAACAATAAGGAGATTAAGGACCCACTCATTGTTATGTTGCTTTTTTCATGTCCTATATTATTGATATAATATTTAAGTCAGGCTGAAAGAGGAAATGCAGACTTCAGAGAGTAAATGTTTCCTGAATCTGTCTGAGAAAAAAATATGTCCAGTAAAGTCTGATGTCACTAATTTTAGACCAAAATGTATTTTTACATCCATTAGAATTTCTGTGAATCGTCAGTTCAGTCTGTCAGGAACAGACCTAATATTTTAAATGCTCCATGTTGCATAACAAAATGTGGCTAATTAAGTATGGTCAGGAACCTGCAATACTTTTGGTGACAAAATGCTACCGTTTCCCTTTGTAGGGTTATGCTGAGAAGGGGAAGGCCACAGCAAAAGGTCTGGAGGATGTGAAGGCTAACTTCTACTGTGAATTATGTGACAAGCAGTATCACAAACACCAGGAATTTGACAACCACATCAATTCCTATGACCATGCCCACAAGCAGGTAAACGGGGAAAGTCGTGCATGTGATTGATAGCTCCTCATAAAGGAAGCATATGGCACAGAGTGACTGGATTCATTAGCTAGCATAGTTAGGAATATTGTTCTTATTAACTATTCAATATGTCTGAGACCCATTCACACTGATTTGGATCATTAAAAATGGTGGGAATCTTTCCATTAACTTCACTGAATTTTTCATCAGACCCATGGAAAACAAGTCTCCTATGTTAATTTTTTGATTCAGTATCTAATGGATGAGGTTCTACGATGAGAATAGATTAAGACTCAGCACCTGAAAGGACTCAAGGATTCCTGGCTTTGCTGGTTGATACTTTTAAAGAGGTGTAAATTAGCCCATATTAAAAACTAGCTAGACTGGAATGATCAGATGCAAATCAGAGCTAATTTTTAAATTGATATTTTCATTACAATCAGATGTGAAATATTTTTTAGTTTTGAGCATTTTCAGGGGCAAACCAATAGAACTGAAGGGCCACTGTCATCAGTGTGAGATAATGGGTCAGCGTGGGTAATGATCATGATATCTTGAAATGTGGGGTTACCAGCATAAAGGAGGAGAATGAAGAAGCACTTTCTCAAACATCCGGGCTATATTTACACTGCAGAGCTTTTCCAGGGTACTGGAGGTATCCCGGAAAAACTATGCCACATCCAAGAAACGTGTCCGCTTTTTCAGAACAGTTTCCAAAAAAGCGGACGTGTTCTTTCAACATCCCTGTATTCCTCATTGTATGAGGAAGAAGGGATGTTCCGAAAGAGCAGGGTTTTTCTGAAATTTGGCTCCTTGTAGATGGGCCAAATTTCAGAAAAGCCTCTTCTCCCAAAAAAGTGGAAAAAGATACACAAATTGCAGTTTGCAATTTGCATATCTTTTTCTGACTTATCTTTGCAGTTTAGACATAGCCAAGACTCTCTCCTTTAGAACCAGATGGTCAGTAATCATGCTGTTCACTTCATTCCTTCTCCAGTCCTTTTCCAGTGCCTAAAAGTAAAAACTCTACTCCCCCATAAAATTAGCTGGAGACCCAGAGTTAAGTCTCTGAGGATTTTCAGCAAGGATTGCACAGGGGCAACCTCCTCACATTCAAGTTCCAAAAGGAATTAAAGAAATGAATTGAATTAAACAACTTTACAACATTTCATGCTAACGATATACATAAACTAATTTTTACAGCACAACATGGCTATTTTATAATCCACACACATTATTATAGTTACACATGAACATAAAGAAAAAATTAAAATCCCAACAGGTCAATTCCTATAGAAACACAATGAGAAGAAGCTGAGAGCTCTAAAAAGCTTAGGTTTAGTTCGCCTAAGCCTCTGATAGGGTGCATCTACGCTACACTGATAGGTTGAAATAAGATGCACAATTTGAGCTATGCAAATTGTGTATCTTATTTGAATATAATTTCAAAATAGCTTATTTCGATATTTGGAACTGTCTACACAGTGACAAATTTCTAAATAAGCACTATTCAAAAACATCCCATATCCCTCATAGAATCTATTTCAAAATAATGGGTGCATTAAAAGATGCAGAACAGCTATTTCAGGATACTTCTGGTATCACCAAATCTGTAGTCTGCTGTGTCTAAAACAACATCTTCCCTATACTTGCATGTAGGAGTTGTTAGCTGGAATCCATTCAGACTTTTCCTCTGAAATCACTGTTAGCCAATCAGCTAGCTAATTAAGCAATCTCTCTCTCTCTTTCTCTCTCTCTGTATATATATATTTCTTATGTTACAAGAAAACACAAAGCTAAGGATAGCAAAATATTAACTTCTCTTTCCCCATTACAACACGTAAGGAAAAGTCAGTAAATCATACTAGTTCAGACAACTTAATTAAAACAGTTTAGCTAAAATCAAAACAATATTCAAAGTATGCAATTAAAATAGATGAAATTATTTTTCCTTCCAGTTTCCCCTTGTTGTAATTAACGCTGCCCATGCTTCCCTCCTAGGGCATTAACAATATAATTAACCTGCTGCAAAATGCTTTGGAGTTAGGGAAAACAACGTGCTTTCTGCTCCTGGCTCAGTTTCTCCAGCTCATCCAAGACACATGGCCTCCTACACTTTTGCCCTGCTTGCTTTCCCTCAGAGGCTGTGTCTAGACTATACCTCTCCGTCGACAAAGAGATGTAGATTAGGCACGTTGAAATTGCTAATGAAGCAGGGATTTAAATATCCCGTGCTTCATTAGCATAAACATGGCTGCCGCTTTTTTTTTAAATGGAGCTTTTTTAAAAAAAAACACAGCAGTCTAAACACGGATCTGTTGAAAAAGGGTTTATTTTTGACAGATCTGCATCTAAATTGCCATTTTTTCTGAAAAAGCTCCATTTAAAAAAAAAGCAGCTTCATTAGCAATTTCGACGTGCCTAATCTACATCTCTCTGTTGACAAAGAGGTGTAGTCTAGATGTATACATGGTGTTTGACCCCAGCAACCGACTGGAGCAGCAGCAGATTTAGGGCAGGGCGAGCGGGGCAGCTGCCCCGGGCCCCGTGCTTCCCAAGACCCCGCGCATTTGCTGTGGCTCCACGGCACATGTGCCATGTCAAAGGGGAGGCCCCACGAAATTTCACTGCCTGGGGCCTCGCGGCGATGCGCTGGGCACTGCGGCACTCTCATCCGCCCCTGGACTGGAGAAGTCCTAAAAACACCCACACCCAATTCTGGAAGCTTCTGGATGTGGAGTGCTAAATCTGCCTAGCAACAATGCAACTCACAAGCCCGTTATTTTTAAATAATGTCAAAATAACAGACTTGCTGTGTGGACACTCACCTTGTTATTTCAAAATAACTCTGTAGTGTAGACATGCCCTGGTTAAAGTGATATCTCCCATTAGACACATCAGTTACACTGCACCAACAGGATGGGTTACACTGTACCACTGACTGTACCAACAACAAAGTAATTTTTTTTTTTAAAGAACATATGTTTCCAAAGTGCCACAAACTATTTGCTACTTGTATCATTTGTGGACAATACCAATCTGGGAGGGGTTGCAAGTGCTTTGTAGGATAGGATTAAAATTCATAATAATCTGGGCCCACTGGAGAAATGGACTGAAGTAAACAGGTTTAAATTCAATAAGGACAAATGCAAAGTACTCCACTTAGGAAGGAACAATCAGTTGCATACTTACAAAATGGGAAATCTTGTTGTTTGTCTTAAAAGGAGTTCTTCAGAAAGGGATCTGGAGGTTATAGTGGACCTCAAGCTAAATACAAATGTAATGCTCTTTCAAAAAAAAATGAATATAATTCTGGGCTATATCAGCAGAAGTGTTGTAACAGGACACACAAATTAATTCTTCTCTATTCTGTGTTGATAATGCATCAGCTAAAATATCATTTCATTTCTGGGAGCCCATATCAGGAAGATGTTGAGAAACTGCAGAAATAGGAGCAACAAAAAAAATAAAGTTCTAGAAAACAAGATCTAGGAGCAATGATTAAAAACAAGGGGCTGTGTCTACATTGGGCCACTCATTCCGGAAAATCAGCTGCTTTTCTGGAATAAGTTGCGAGCTGTCTACACTGGCCCTTGAATTTCCGGAAAAGCAATGACACTCTACTGTACAAAATCAGCCGCTATTCCGGAAAAACTATTCTGCTCCCGCTCGGGCATAAGTCCTTATTCCAGACCACTGAAAATGGCGATCGGGGCTCTTTTCCGGAAAAGCGCGTCTACATTGGCCACAGATGCTGTTCCGGAAAAAGGGCTTTTCCGTAAAAGCAGCCTGCCAATGTAGACGCTCCTTTTCCGGAAAAACTAAAAATGGAATAGTATTCCATTTTAAGCAGTTCCGGAAATTCATGCCAGTGTAGACACAGCCGGGGTGTTTTTTTGTTGGTTTTGTTTTTGTTTGTTTTCTTGTTTGTTTGTCTTTAAGACTGGAGAAGAAAATACTGAGGAGATGACATGATAATAGTTTTTTTAATACATATAATGTTGTTACAAGGAGAAAGGAGAAAAGTTGGTCTCCTTATCCTCTGAAGATAGGAAAAGATGTCTTGGACTTAAATTGCAGCAAGGGGAGGTTTAAGTTAGACGTTACAGAAAACTTCCTGTTAGGTGGTTAAGCACTGGAACAAATTGCCTAGAGAGGTTGTAGAACCTGAGTCATTAGACAGTGTTAAGAACAGGTTAGACAAACACTTGCCTGGAATGATATATTTATTATATGGGACTGCCCTGCGTGCAAGGGACTGGACTAGATGATCTATTCAAGTGCTGTCCAGTCCTACATTTCTATGATTTCTTAGGGTGGAGATCTTACAGCTTTGCATGCAGAACATAATGAATGGTATTGAACGGAATTGAACCACATGGCTTGTCATTTCAGGAAAGAAATAATAGTTTCTAATTGCTTATTATCATTTGTTTTGTAACAAGTTAATCACTTGTATATATGCTAGCTACATCCATGGCTGGTGCCTGCTGTCCTGCTTAGATGTTCCTTCTATGTCTTCCTTTGCTATAGATTTCAACAGGATGTTAATTTTAAATGGCGGTAAACAGGGAAAAGTGCTATTATTTCATATCAAGATTTTATTCCCCCAAAGTCATGCCAAGATCTGCAAGCATTCAACACTTTTGATGGAACGGAAATGGTTTTATTTCTGCAAGGAAAGGTTTTGTTGAAATGTGCTAATCAAATACAGAAAGGGTTGTGGTGATAAAGATAATTAAGGGATGAGTAGTCATCCGTATCCAATAGAGATGAAAGATACAGAATGTTTAATGAAGACTAAACCTCAAGAGAATTTTAGCTCCCCACTTTTTAACTATCAGGCAGACACATTACTGATGATGGGACTTATTTGAGAGCTGCTGAATACTCAGCAAATTAACCCATTAATTTATTGTGCATGTTTAGTACATTTGGGGTCAGAGTCCAGGTTATAGTGTAGTTGCTAAGGACATGTCTATACTTGAAATGTAAGTCGAACTATGTTA